TTAAAGATGAGGATGAGAATAGAAGAAAAAAAAGCCAATCGGATAGAGAAATTGACCTGCAAGAAAAGATTGTCCTTGATTTTTTTAAAAAAACTAATCAGTGGCTGAAAAATAGATTTAAAATGCATAATCAGAAACTCGAAAGGTAAAAAAAATTGTGCTTATTGAATCAATCTAACATTCTTATTTTACCAACCAAAACAAAAGGTTGGAAAAAAAAGGAAAAAACCGAGAAATTATGAAAAAAGTTGAGTTTAATTACTAAAAGAAAATTTTTCAACAAAAAGTTCAACAATTTTTAAATTAAACTATGATTATTGCCCTGAAAAAAACCGAAGTGATCTCAAAAAAAATAGAAACTTTTCATCAGAAACTTTATTTAATAGTATTCTTTGGTCCATTCCAACTGCGTACTATTAAAATTCGGTAAAGCTTAATCTAGAATTCAGCTAAATTTCGTTAAAGCTCAAAAATTTAGAAATTTTAAATCAAAATTTTTTCTTAATATTGTTCCTTGGCCCATCCCACCTACGTACTATAAAATTTCGGTAAACCTTTATCTTTTTTCAAAAATTTTATTGTAAATAAAATTGATGCGGGGAGAAAAGAGAGCTCGGTTTGCAAGTTTTCTTATATGGGTCTTTAGAAACAAGAAACGATAAATTTACTAAATCATTGAACGATATTTTCGAGAAAAAACCATTATAAGCTATAACTATGCGGTTACTTTTAACTTAATACTCTATAAAAAATTTAATGATGTTATAATACATAATTCACAAGTTGATCAGAGAACACTACTTTGTACTACTAACTCATTGAACGATCTTTTCGAGAAAAAAACATTATAAGCTATAACTATGCGGTTACTTTTAACTTAATACTCTATAAAAAATTTAATGATGTTATAATACATAATTCTCTAGTTGATCAGAGAACACTACTTTGTACGACGCAAACGTTGAAAAGTTATTAAGAACTCAGTGTCTCATTCATCAATTAGAAATTACTTGTTTCTATTTCCTTGCGCAAGGTCAAGTTTTTTCATAGACATTTGTTTTGAGGATAAGTTTCTAAGACGTTTTAACCTGTTCATTTTTAATTCTGCTAGATTTTGATTGTTTGATAACAAAATTGTTGAAAAAGCGAAGCACCGAATGCTCGATTGTTATTTGTTGATTTGATAAAATTTAAATTTCAGAGTTGATTATATAATTGGTTAAATGTTAATCCAGCACTAACAATTAGAGTTATTTTGTTTTTAGTTTGTTCCTACATTAAAAAATGCTCTCTACCTTGAGCAACCATTGCATCAGTTACGTTAAATTTCAGTACGTGCCATAAAAAAATTTCTAGCATGTTCAAATTTTTAGAAAATTTCCGTCATTAAAAACTTTTCTGATGCGTAATCCTTTTACCTCACTTTTGGCTTCCCACAAGTTTTTTTGATTAGACTAAAACTGTTATTAAAAAATTTTACAATTTTTTTGTATCTTCTATTATTGAAAACTTTTTGGAACCATCTTCCATTTTAGTTCTGCTTCACGTATAAACTCAGTTTTTACTGGCAAGCATGAGTAGAATATCTTGTAATGAGCACTGAGTCACTGTTTTAAAGTATTGTGATAAGTTTCAGTACAATTTTTTCAGATGGCTTCGCAGTATTATGTTTGAATGAAACTTCTAGTTGATCCTCCAGTTTTAAGTTATCTCTACCGCTTATCGAGAAGTTAAACTCATATACTGCACCCATGAACTCTTCTTTATTTTTTTTTAGATTATTCAGACAATTTTCCAATTCAAATGACATAATTTTTTGAAAAGGATCAAGGCCAATTATTGATATTTTTCCCTAGTATATTTTTCGTTCTGACAAGAAATGGATTGCAATCGATTGTTTCCAGATGATGTAGCAGAGACCTAAAAGGAATCGATTTGAATAGACCTAAAATCGATTTAGTTCTCTACAAAAGTGCTGCTTAAGTATCATTATCAATCGTTTTAAATCCTTTCTTGTCAAATTTTTTCTGTATAACTTTTCTTGTAATTTTCTTATAGATATCAGTAACAATAAAATTGATTCAAATCGATTTAAAAGGATTTTTAACATTTTTAGTATACTAAGTATATGAAGATTATATTCTAATTAAATTCAGATTTTTTAGATTATCAAACAGTCGAGAAAAATGTGGAAATCAAATTTTAACAAATGCTTTTCAATTCTTTTTTAGTTTCGGTTTTTGGTCTGAAAATAAACTATGAGGATAACTAATAACTGAATTGTCTCCACTAATTGAATTTGCTTGTTTGACAATAGAAACTTTTTTCTTATTTGCCTAATCAAATTGTGCCTAGAATATTGATAAAAAAAATATAATCTGAAATTATTTTGCATATTTTTACTTCTTATTACTGTGGGAGCTCTTAGTTTAGCACAACTTGAAAGGGAATCCCTAAGCGCTCCAGATTATGACTCTCTCTTTTGTGACTCTTGCTCTCTGTATGCCTGATGGAGATTTTCTTCTACAAACTTGCTTATAACTCGAAAAAAATAATTAAGCTGTATCAATTTTTTGAAACTTTGATGATTTTCACCACGTTGCGAAAATCCATTTAAATCTGTTCTAAATCCATTTTTTGTGCAATAATATTGTTGTAGAAAACGTATGTTTTGTTACAGAAAACATATGCCTATGACATGGTCATGGTTTATAGGAGTATGTTAAAGGCACATTTAACCAACGATGAAACATGGCGTTCAGCGTTTTTCTACTGCTACCCAGGATACCGAATTGGGTTGGAGATTTTCTTCTACTGTGAGGACCCGCACCGAAGTTTCATGGGTAATAATCGATTATAATGGATTTTCGTTGGCTAAAATGTTGTGTATATAATCGATTATCATATCAAATTTAGACCACGTAATCGATTTTTAATCTATTATAATCGATTATTTTAGAAAAATTTAAATCCATTATAATCCAGTACAATCGATTATAATTCATTTTTGTTTTCAATATAATGGATTACTTTTTGTACAAAAAATCCATGAAAATTGATTAAATTTTGTAAATAATGACTCTAATTTTTGCAACTTTCTGCAAAACTCGAATGAACACGTTCATCCAGGGGCGGCCAATATGTAGTTATTTTCCAAAAAGTGCCCAAAAACAGCATTTTTGACCCCCATTTTTGATTCCCCCCAACGTATCCACCGCCCCCCCCCCCCCCTCCAACGTACCCCCATCCCCCCACGTACCCCCAACCACGCGATGTACCCCCTCCCTCTCTAGTTAGGGGACATCTAACTGTACTACGGGTAAGCGTGAGGGGGGAGTTGGTGTGGGATTTATAGGTAACTTTTTGTAATTTTTCATAACTCGATTGAAAATAGGAAAAATTGAAATTAAGCGAGAGAACAAAATAACTAACTCAAGTTTAACAAAATTATGAAAAAACTTCAAAAAAAACAACACACAAAAAGATTTGAATAAATAGATATTAATCCATTAGAATCGATTAAAATGGATTAGTTTTCGATTATTAAAATCGATTATAATCGATTATAATCGATTATATTGGGATTTTATTGCTTAAAAATATTATCATTATAATCCAACTTCAATCGATTATGATCGATTATTTTTGTTGTTTTGTAGAGACTGACAATGAAAATCCAATATAATCGATTATTTTCCATGAAACTTCAGTGCGGGGATAACTAATATCTGAACTAATATCTAATATATGAGGATAACTAGTATCTGAACGGTAGAAAGCTTCAGAGAGACAGTAAGAAATGTGGCCCAGGCACTTGCTCTGAGACATAGCGATGACTTCTAGATCCGAAGTCTACCCAATGAACTGTAAGTTGATTGCTTGAACCACTAGAAAAACGAGAGAACAATTGGGTAAAATACAGGAAAGTGACGTCACAATCGAAGTCCTTGTCCCTAACTGAACACAGGTAATAGATTTGATTGGCTACAAAAGGCCGATACAAAAGACCAGTGCATCGGACGCTTGAACCATGAAGCGCTCATAGATTCTACTGGAGTCCCGGAACAAAACAGATGTGATGAGCACTAAGCCAACAATGCAGAAATATAACAGATGTAATGGTTTTTACCGAAAAGTGCATATCACAGACAGGAACGCCACAGAAATGAATTGAAAAGAACCAACAGAAAACTGAATCTGGTATGATATCTCCTAGAGTTATATCTGAAAACTAAACAAAATTATAGCTGAATTAATAGTAAGTTTAGATAAGTGAAAAGAGAATCAGTTGATCCTTGAGAAATATTAATTTTCAATACTTGACAAAAGATGGTAGACTATATGTTTTTTTTTCAATCTGTTTTTTTTTAATCTGTTTTTTTTTTAAATCTGTTTTTTTTCAATCTGTTTTTTTTTTCAATCTGTTTTTTTTCAATCTGTTTTTTTTTCAATCTGTTTTTTTTTCAATCTGTTTTTTTTAATCTGTTTTTTTTTCAATCTGTTCTTTTTTCAATCTGTTATTTTTTTCAATCTGTTTTTTTTTGAATTAGTTTTTTTTCAATGTCCAGACCTTTGCGAGCAATTTTTTTTAATTTTTTTTTAGTTTTAGACTATCGCGACCCACGACGAGACTCAAGCACAGACTTTCCGGGCTCAAAATCTCACCGAGATTAAGCAATTTTGATCTTAATCAATATGCGGCGCGACCCAAAAAGTCTAGACATCGATTAATTACACTTCGCTTCCTTTTTTTAAAGTTTTTTCTTCGCTTATTATTTTTATCCGCTACAACATGCTTGGCAAAATGATGCTACATAACTGGGATACTAATTCAAAAACCAAACAGCGAATCTTCAAACTTGACCCTCAGTTTATGTTATGCAGTCATAACTTTTGTTGGTTTGTTTTAAAATCGGACTTTATAAAGCTAGTGATTGTTTTGAAAGCAAACAGAAAACGAATCAACAACCAACTAAACCAATAAATCCGATCTTTTCTCGAAGATCTGTTCCGTGGTATATTCTTTCAATTAGTCCAAAGTTTTCGTTGTTGTTGTTCTCAGTTTCAACAAAGTTGAATTTGTTTTTCATCTTACATCCGGTTCAGAAATTGATTTGTTCCAGTTTAATTTTGATCAATGCATACTAGTCCAAATATCTGTGCGACTTCAAACCCGGTTAGCTTAATTAATTTCTAAATTTTGTCGGAGTTTTGCTCGCAGAGACCCAAATACAAAAAATTCGTGTGTAAAAGTTTTCTAAATGTGCAGTAAGCTAGACGAGCATATTTACTAGTCATACAAAAGGTCTCCATAAGAAGGCTTACAAATCCACCCGAAGTAAACATATCAGCTATTTTTTAGGGTGACGGCAAAGTTGTCACTAAAAAACTGAAAACTAGAAATCACTTAAATAAGAAAAAAGTCACTAAAGTTAAGCACAAAATAATCACAAGAAGAGAAAATCTGAAGGACAAATAAACTGCTTTGCTTACCTTTAGAGCTCTAACCAAAATTGGAAAAGTCGAATTTTTGTGAGCAAAAAAACAAATAAAAGTAAACTGCAAATTAATCAGGTTCATAAATATTTTGTAATTTGCAGTTAGCTAGTCCACATTTTTCCTGGTCACAAACACAACCACCACCAAAAGATCTTTCCCCCACACGCCATAAAAAGTACAAAGTATTAAATTTCGCTCCTCTTAGCAAATCAATTACGACAAATAAGCTTCCTTCAATCAATATGGAACGATTTCCCGACTTACGAAGTCTCGACTTACGCGTTAATAGCGTGAATATATCGCGCGTTAATTGTCCCATTGGCCGAAATGACAGTCTTGAAAGCCCCGTAACATTACTTAAAATGATCATAGGTAAACTATTTTTTCAAATTCAAGTTGAAAATGCATTACAAAAGTTAAGGTAAAATTACTTCAAATGTTAAGGTAAAAAACCTTAATAATGAAGAGATTTAGGTTTTTTACCCTAACAATTTTTTGCGTTCTTAAGGGAAAAAATTAAGGTAAAAATACCTTAGTATTAAGGTAAATATAGGTAATTTACCTATTTTTAAGGTAAATTTTCAAGGTAATTTTACCTAAAAACTTTTTTTGGTGTTTTTTAAGGCTGATACACATTAACTTTTAAGTTGATATAAGGTAAATTTTTAAGGTGTACTTAAAGTAATGCAAATTTACCTCAATTGTTCAGGTGTTTTAAGGTGTTTTTTTAGGTAAATTTTCCCTCTTTTTTTTGAGTGTGGCTAGTTAAAATGTCTAAAATTCTTTGAAGAAAGAAAAAACTACCTCGAGCACAAACACTCCGTTACTTTCGTTACGAAAGTCGGAACAACAGTCAAATTTTTGTTGAACAACGAGAAAATCTACGAGAAAAGTAGAAACCAATCCAATAATGTAGAATTACACTGAAACAAAGACAACGATTTAAAAAAAAATAACATTCATGTTGCACTTAAATTTTGAGCTGCAATGTGGTCGGGTATTTTTGCTCGCAATAATATAAAACAGACGCGTTTGCAGAGGAACCAAACAAAAAAAATTGAAACTAGCTTTTTCGATGAGCATATACAGGAGCGCTACAAGAAGGCCTACACATGCTTCCAAGGTCAAAAATAAGCAAAACACAAAGCTGACACAGAAACAGAAAGCAAGACAAAAAAATATGTAGATAAGTTAAACGTGTTCATAAAGTTGAATAAAATAGTTCTGCCAGTTGCTGGAAAAAATTCTGCCAGTTGCTGGAAAATACAAGGTTTTTTGGTTGCTGGAAAAAATGAGGAACGGCGGCCGGCGTGGAATTGATAGAGAGTTGATTGACAAACATTGGAGTGCGCTGGGTTATAGACATGCCATGGTGGTAAATTATTTTACCCTCTATCATATCACGTCCATCTCTAATCACCCCCCCCCCCCCCCCCTTATCAATTTTTTCTATAAAATTGGAGTTTGGTTGGCTCATTTTTCTTAATCATACAACATAGGAAAAGGTTGTTGATATTAATGTTGGTTGCACAGGGGGTGTTGCGGTTGTTGACGACGTGGGGAATTGGTAGATGGCGGATGAGTGGGTGGGGGGGCTATAAGAAAAGTCATGCTAGGAATCAATACTCGTCTAACACTCCCTTAATACCTTATTATCTCTTATCCACGTTAGCCATTTTCCTTCCTCTCTTTTTTCTATCACCCTGCCTCATTTTGCGCGTGAACTTGAAAACTTGGCTGCTTACTTTCCTGGGTCGCGCATTGTTCCGCCTAATTTTTCAATCATGCAAAGTCTTGTTGAAAAGCTTAGTTTCGGATCGTTTAGTTTCCAACATCAATAGCCAACAAGATTGTATCAAGATCATAAAAAGGCTAAATTAGAGGTCAATTAGTGGCAGATGCTCCGATGGCCAGTACCTGTCAATTAGTGCCAAGCACTAGAATGAAATTGAAGTTGATTGGCAGATAAGAAATGCACATATTTAACCTAATTTAACCACTATGACATTCTCCTTTTTGGACTCTCCGAGTTTTTCTTCTATTTTCTGTCCCTTCATTTGGAGATGTGATCAGACATCACTGCCTCTATTTTGCTGACCGCCGATCTTTGACTTCCGCTCCTGCGCGAGGCTGTTACATTTTGACAGCTATTCGAGTCTTGGCTCGAGTACAAGACCAGACGTTGTTTTCTCCCCCATTTTTTTCGTCCCCTGGCTGGGTACTTTCTATTTGCACCGATTGTGCATCGGTTGTTTGTGCCGAATTAGCATTTGGGTCGTGGAATACGTTGTCCGCCGCTCAGTTTCTTTCTTTCCCCGATCGTGTACCATTCGCGCGTCGCCTGTCTTTTGCTTTTTCTGCCTCTCTCGCTCTTTACTTTTTCTCCCCTATCCCACTATCGCCGCTCCCGTTTGTCAATCACTCGCCTAGCGTTCGCTTCAAGGGCCCGTCCGAGCTCCGCTCTGGGTTTTCTATGGCCGGTTGCTGGCCTAGTTGGAATTTTGCCCGCTATACGCTTTGTTGCGAGTGGCCTTCCCTGGTCCTCGTCGGATTCGGACTCGTTGTCGGATTCGTATTGTCATCCTCATCCTTTGCGTGCTCTTACACTGGCTGGAGCTGAATTATTCAGGTAACTGACCTTGGCAGCCAATTTCCTTCGGAGTCGGCGATTTTGATATATCGTCAGCGGCCCGCTTCATTGGTTCTGTGATTTTTCGGATGGCTACTCCGGACATCCTAAGAAAGCTTCCACTCATCTTTTCGAGTTCGATCAGTAAATTCAACAGGAATAATCCTTCATTACAGGCTAACGAAAGAGCTGTAGCCTCTGATTCAGCTGTAGATTTTGCAACAGTAGTTTGGAGTTTGCTAGCCCACGATATTGCACCGCTGTTTTCAAACAGGAAAAAGCAATATCCACTAGTACTGCGTCTAGTGTCACTGTCACCTCCCCAATCAGAATCAGAATAGCCATACAAGATTGGCGTAGCAGTACATCGTCTGTAGATAAGTTTATACGATCTAGTTCCTTTCAAATATCGTAGAACTCGTTTTGCAGCAATCCAGTGTACTTCAGTAGGGTCGTTCACATATCTACTCAAGCAATGAGCGATGAATGAAATATCAGGCCTTGTAGTAATTGACAAGTAACTTAGACTGCCGATAAGTCCTCTATAATCTTTGTCGTTTGCTAATTTCACCTCATTTGGTAGCCGTTTACAAAGTTTTAAACCATCAGCTGCAGGTGTAGACACTGGTTTACACTCAATCAAACCAAATTTTGACAGTAGCTTGTCAATATACGCTTCCTGAGAAATTTCTAACCCATCCCCACAAAAGTTGAATTTCATCCCCAAAAACCAATAAAGTTTTGCTGTTTCGCTGATTTTGAATTGACTAGATATTTGTTGTTCAAATGATATAAACTTGTTAGCATCATTGCAAGCGTAAATTATATCATCCACCCAAATGCATACGTATTCCAAAACATCTTTTGAAATTCTCATGAAAAGACAGGGATCACTTTTTGACGCTGTAAAATCTATTGACTTAAGGAACATCTGTAAGGTATAGTACCAATTTCTTCCTGACTGCTTTAATCCATAAATAGATTTATTTAGCTTACAAACAAGTTGATTACCCCCACTGTCTTTCTGCTCAAAACCTTCAGGTTGTTGCAGGAAGACATTCTCTTCCAAATTAGCGTTTAGATAGGCTGTTTTTACGTCCCATTGTCTTACATCAAAACCCTTAGCTGTTGAAATTGCTAAAATAAGTCGTAATGTTGCCATTTTTACTGTAGGACAAAAGGTTTCCTTGAAATCAACGCCTTTGATTTGATTGTAGCCTTTAGCCACATATCTTGCCTTGTATCTTGAAATTCCCCCCTCATGATTGTATTTCAAAGTAAAATGCCACCTTCTCCCCAAAATAGTTTGATCCGTTTGTGGAACTAATTCCCAGACATTATTGTTGATCAGAGAATTATATTCATCCTGCATTGCTTTTTTCCAATTGGGGTTAGAAAGTGCATCGTTAGCATTTTTTGGCAAATTATCAACATAAAAAGTTGCATCAGCTAGCCAACACTCATCAAAAATTGTCTCATTTCTAAAAAATGAAATCTCAGGCGCATTTAATTGTTTGATCCGTTCGCTGCGGCGTAATTGATCATTTTCAAGGTTTCCGCCATTAACAATATCCGCAGAATTTTTCTCAGAAATCTCAGAATAGTTTTCAACGCTTATTTTCAATTCCCGTCCAGAATCATTTTCATCGTCATTTTTGAAAGGAAAAACTTTTTCATCAAAAGTAACATTTCTACTCTCCAAAATATCAAAGTTTCCATCAAGCTCAGTTCCTACTATATAACATTTACTGTTCAGACTATATCCAAGCAGAAATCCTTTCACGGCCCTTGAATCAAGTTTTTCCATGTTTTCTTTTTCGACAAACATATATGCAGCACAACCAAAAATTTTTACGTGTTTCAAATCAGGTTTGCTTTGGAAAAATTTTTCGTATGGGGTTACCCCAATTGCAGAATGATAAACTCGGTTTTTCAAGTAGAAAGCTGTTTTCAATGCAAAAGACCAAAATTTCTTTTCCATGCTGGCAGTTTGTAAAAGACATCTAGTTATTGCCATTACACTACCCCAAGTTCGCTCTATTTTACCA